CTATCCCCGCCCCGGGGAGGGAGAGGGAGGGACGGGCGGACCTCCGCACCGCCAGGGGGCGCCGCAGCCCCGTCCGCCCTCCCCTCCCCGGGGCGTCCTGGCTCCATGGCAACCGGGCGCGTCACGGGGAGAGGCGGAAGAGGAAGCGGGGCCGCGCTGGGGCCGCCTGGTACCGGGGGGAGCCGCGGTGCGGGATTGTCCTTGGAGGGGGGGTCCCGGGGACACACTGGGGGGGGGCACGGTGCGGGGCTTGCAGGCGGCGGTGCCCATAGCGGGTTGCGGGGAGAAGCTAGGCCCGGGGTGGGAGGAGAGAGGGATGCGGGCTCCCGGGGTGGCGGTGCCAGAGCAGGCCCGGTGACCGGTCCCCGTCTCTCGCAGGCCGCCTCCTCTCGCCATGCCGAGCCCCCGCAGCAGCCGAGAGCGACGCACCGGCCGGCTGGAGTTCCTGTCCCTCGTCAGCCAGCGCAGCCCCGGCCCCCCGGACAGCCCCTCCCGCCGCAGGGAGTCGAGCAGCTCCGCGGCGGCGGCCCCGCTGCCCGAGGAGGACTGCATGAAGCTGAACCCCTCCTTCCTGGGCATCGCCCTCAGCTCCCTGCTCGCCATCGACCTCTGGGCCTCCAAGCGCCTGGGTGTCTGCGCCGGGGAGGGCTCGGCCTGGGGCAGCGCGCGGCCCCTCATGAAGGTCATCGAGGTTTCGGGGCACGGTATCCCCTGGCTGCTCGGCACCTTCTACGGGCTCTGCCAGAGCGACAGCTCAGCGGCCAGGGAGGTGCTGCTCAACCTGCTCTTCGGTGAGGCTGGGGGCTCACCACAGGGCTGGGGCGCAGGCAGGGGCTGGCTAGAGCTGAGGGGGGGAGGATGAGACCTGAAGGATGGGGTAGAGCTGAGGAAACCTGGGCCTGCTACAGCCCCGAGGGAGCCGGCTGATTTTGAATAACTAGGGTGCCTGGTTCCTGGGTGAGTAACCCTGCAGCTGGAAGGCGTGGTGGCATGGGTATGGCTCATCTGTCACAACTCCCAGCACACACTGCAACATTCCCGACAGATAAACTGCTCCTCCTGCAGTTGCACAAAACTTTCAGGGAGCTGAACTCTCTTTCAGTTCTTCAGCTTATCAGAAGAGCGCATTCCAGGTGCAGCTTCCTAGTGTTGGGACACCAGCCCTTTTCCCTGAAAAGCTGCTCTGGCACAGAGATGTCTGCACCCTTGGGCTCCTTGCAGGCAGCACCTGCGTGGATTGATCTGTATCAGCCAGTGAGGAAACTTGGTTTAAGGCTTGCATTTTGATTTTGTGTGGTGTAATATTCCCCCTCTAGCATCCTCTCTTATTAGGTATACCTGGATTCTTAATTTTTGCTCATTTAGAAACAAGTCGTTCCAGAGCAACAGACCTTTTCAGGTTCCTAGTTCTTACTCTTTTGTTAAGTTGCAAATAATTGGTATCTCAACAATCATTGAAATATCATTTGAAGTTTTCTTGGTGGGAAACATATGGTTTTGTGCAGCTTTTTCGTCTAGTAGCACATGGTTAAATTACAGTCTCACAGCAGAGCTGTGGGAAGAGACCTGGGGGCCTCCAACCTAATCTCTTCTCCGAGGAGGTCTGTCCCAGCACCAGGGCCATGTCCAGCCCTCAACGCTCTGGGCCAGAGCCACTGACCTCTCTCTGGGGTCCTGTTCCAGGGTTGCAGCACCCACGTGGGGAAGAAGTTCTCCCTGATGTCCAAGCTGAATCTTCCAAACCGTATAGAAAAAAAGCAGTTGAACTAGGTTTACATATGGGGAAAAAAAAAAATAAAAATTGTTCTTAAATGATTAACCAAAGGGAATGAACTGAAATGATTGAAAGATTTGGTGCCCAGAAATAAGCCTTAGGACAAGCAGAAACCAGTCCTTCACGCAAGACTTTCTTGGAAGAAGTAGCTGTGGCTCTTAGCACTGAGCTCAGGGATGGAGAAAGCATCCTCTGCCCTACACAAGAAGCTGTTCTTGCCCAATACTGACTGAAAGCTTCTCACAGGTGCTTTGCCTCTGACTTCTACTGCAACAGTCTTTAGCTCTCTGGGGGTAAGCCACCATTATTTAAATCATCCTTTATCAGCTTTTGAAAACCAAAGCATGGTTAACTTTCTGGCATTAGCCCTCTCAGCAGCAGGGAGAAGCCAGAGTGCAGGAGTCCTGGCAGCACCAAGGGAGCTCAGGGCCCCTCACCCTGAGTCCTGGTGGATGTGAGTTGATCATTCACAGGGTCTGTTTGACCTCTGGCCACAAGGGTAGCAACCCTGTCAGCACAGGCTGTCAGGGAGGGAGTTGTGGGGAATATTAACCCCTCTGTTGCCTTTAGATTAAGGGTCAATTTGAGCCCCGAGTCGTGGCAAGATCAGATTTTACACAGAAAGAAAAGCCCTTGGGTGCGAGCTGGGCCAAGTCCTGTTGCTGGCTGTGGCAGGCAGAGGGTCTGATACTGCCCAGGGGCTGCGTGCAGCCAGAGTGGAGACTGAAGATGTGCTCACGCTGGAGAAGGCCAGGCACTGGATGAGTCCCATGCTCTCCCTGCCCTGGCATTGTAGCCATGGGAAATACTGCCTTCTTTTAGCAGGTTTTGGTAGCCAAGTGCCATCTTCTTAGCTATTGGTTCTGCTTTGATTCTTGCCTGGTTTTCCATGAAGCAATAACAAAACCAAAAAAATAAAAAGCCACCCAAACCTTGCTCACTCCCTGTTACTGTCTCCTAGCGTTGGTGCTGGATCTCGTGCTGGTGGCGGTGGTGAAAGGGATCGTCAAGCGGCGGCGGCCCACCCACAACAAGATGGACATGTTCGTCACCATCTCAGTGGACAAGTACTCCTTTCCATCGGGCCATGCCACCAGAGCTGCCCTGGTCTGCCGCTTCGTTCTGCACCACCTGGTGCTCGCCGTCCCGCTGCGGGTCCTCGTGGTGCTCTGGGCTCTCATCGTCGGTGTTTCAAGGGTGATGCTGGGCAGGCACAACGTGACAGACGTGCTCTTCGGTTTGCTGCTGGGCTACGCGCTGTACAGCGTGGTGGAGTACTGCTGGCTGTCCCCGCTCAGCGCCCCTGCCCTCTTTGCACTCTGGAGCCATTGATGGCTGGGTCCCTCCTAAAGGAGGAGGCATGCGCCCGGTTTGCTAAGGGAGGGGATACTGGGACTTGGACTCACATCCTAGACCCCACCTATCCAGCCAAGATTTCAACACTAGCGGTGCTGCAGGCTCCTGGGCCCACTCTTAAGACGTTTGGTGCTGTCTCACCCTCGTGGTGGGCTGTCAAGGAGGGTGTGCACTGGCCAAGCAGCTGCACTGACTGTTCTCCCATGAAAAACCAGTCCCTGCAGAGCCCGGGGAGGGCTCGGCACATTCATCCGTCAGCTCACTGCTGATACTGTGAATCGGTGTGCCCTCGCTGGCCACCTGCTGCGTTAGTCCATGGTGTATGTGGTAGCTGTGGCTTTGCAGAAGTTCGTCTGTGTGCTGTAAATACATTGACCACATTGCTGTTGTGAGCATGCCCTGCACAGCCTGCTCCATAGTGTCTGTCTGGAGGGGACTCATTGGTGTCCGTCCTTGGGTTTATAAAGAGTTCTGCCTTCCTAAGGAGTGTGTCTCTTCCCTGTTGCTCTTGGCTTAAGCACCGTGCTGAGGCCAGATCTCAACCAACAAGGACATAAGCACCCGACTCCCAGTGCCATGGGGAAAGGATGGTGCAACTGAGGGTTTAGTCCATTCGTGCTATCTCCAAGAGAGGGGATAACCAGGGAAACCAGCAGCAGCCTGTTCCTGAAGCCCTTGTGCAAAGCTCCACAGCTCCTTTTCCCCCCTCCTCAGGATTTTTGGTCTCCCAGGGGATATAGTGCATTCACAGCAATTCCTGCCTGTCAGCACGTTACTGGTGCTGCTGACAGCACGCTGCAGAGCCAGCCCCTTCCCCAAAGCCCTGGCCAGCCATACACCCTCACCCAGGCTGCTGGGCAGCCCCAGGAGCTCAGCCTTACATACACCACTCGCAGCAAGAGGCCCTGGCTCTGCCAGCCACCACCACCACAGCTCCCTGTGCTCCGGGCAGGCTGGCTCTCCTACCTTAGCATTGTTGGTCCTTGTGGCAGCCTTTTTTCCTAGAGGACTGATTGTCCTTGGCAGGAGAAGACCGTGATAAGCCTCTGTAATGAGATGGGCCTGAGACTGAGCCAGACAAGCACAGGATCCACACCAAGAGGGACCATAGCCAAGAGGAGAGTGAAGGCTCTGGGCTGAGCTTAATAGTGCTCCGGGCATGTGGGTGGGGGTGATTGGGTCCAGGTGAAGCCATTAAGGTCTATTACTGCACTCGGAGCCCTGGAAATCATGAATAAAGCTGTATTAAAACCAGGCAGTGTTTGGTGAGTGCTGTTCCTCTGGCTGAAGTGTGCAGGAGCAGCCTGAGAACTGCTGGTACAACCATCCCATTTCTCTCTCTCACCCAATGTCACTTACACGGGGGTTGAAACAAAAGTGCTCGGCTTTTGGTTCCCCCAGAGCTGAGCCCTGACCCACCGGCACGGTGAGCCGGTGAAGCTACCAGCTGTGGGTTTGCACTCCAGAGATAAAAAAACATAATCCCCTGGGTTGCACCACATGCTGGGCAGCCGGCTGGGCCGGTCCAGCATCCGCACAGCAGCACCCAGCCACCCCAGGAGTCCTCCTGCCCCAAGGCAGAGCCAAGCTCTGTGGTGGCTGCGGGATCACAGCAGGCGGCATGCTCCAGTGTGGTCAGGGCTTGGGGTGATCTGGGGTTGCCAAAACATCTTAGCTCTACTTTTTTTGCCAAGCACGGGTTGCTTTTCATCCAAGCAGTTCTTACAGCCATCGGTGTCTTCCTCTCCAGGCCACGGAGGAGTACAGCAGCACCCTGTGCATTTGTGGCTTGTTCCCACATGCCAAAAGTTGCTCCTGGCTCACTTGCAGGACCCCCTGCGAGCTGCTTGGTGGCACCTACCATCACCAGTGCACAGCCCCACTGGGTCACAGGCTGCCCTGCCACCCTCTCACAGCTGCTCAGCTCTTCCCCACCTCCACCAGCGAGACCTTTGGTCTCCTCTTGTGCTTGTCACTTGTCACCGCTCCTCCAAGCATGGGTGCCAGCCCACTGATAGGAAGTGGGAGATGAGTGCTTTCTGCTCACCTTGTCCCACAGCACCTCTGCCCACTGCAAAAGACCAGAGCAGACATGTCTGCATTGTCCACCATGCTGTCTTGTCTGTCCTGGCTGCTCACTGGGCACAGAGGACCATGACTTTCCCACAGATATCAACAAGCTGGTCTTGGCCAAAATGTCATGGCTTGACCCTGGCACACTCCCGCTGTCCCCAGTGCCTGGTGGGGTAATTTAGCTGGACCATGAATCCAAGCAGAGTGGGGGCAAAGTCCAGGGCTGTGCAGCCTCTCGTAGCCACCAAGGCAGAAGGGCAAATTCAAAGGCAACCTGCACAGAGGTTTCATAGCACAGCGGTGGGGCTGAGAGCTGGGAGAAGTCCCCTGTACCTGTCGCCCTTGGGCAGCCCCTGCGGAGCTTGCAAAAGAGCCGGACGCCAGCTGAGAGCAGAGCAGGGAGGGTAGCGCTGCCAGTGCTGCCTCCTCGACATCCCCGTGCCGATCCCCCTGCCTGGTAAGAGATGCTTTCAGTGCTTTTTGACAGACAGGCACTGAGCGTGGGTTGGCAGCTCAGTGCTTCTGCCCTGGGCAGAGATCAGCCCTTGCCAACGGCGAGGGACAGAAAGAGCTTTATCACACTTATTGCAAACGTACTGTGACTTTTAGAAGGTTAAAACCATTTCAGCTGCAGAGCTTGGCCCCTCTGCAGCCCTGCTCAGCTCTGGGGTGAAGCTCCCCTAACACAGGAGAGCAAAGCTCTCCTGTAGCCCTCAGGGGCTGTGTGGCTGTGAGTGCACCCACAACCAGCAGTGTGCCTCTGAGCCACCTGGGCTTTGTCTCCTGCTGCCAGGGAGAACCTTTTCCTAACTGCTCCCACCACCCCAGCACCAGGGAGACCCTGGCAGCACGGTGCTCCTCACATCAGGGTCCTGCTGGTCCTGGAATTCCAATGGCCCAGGAGCGAGCCATGGCTATGGGGATGCTGTGCCGACATGCCCAGCCCAGGGGCATGGGGGACGTGGGCGATGCGATGCCGGGTGCCATCGGAGCAGCTGGAGCTGTGTGTGCCCCTGGGTATCAGGACGAACAGGGTTGGGCTGATCCTGTTAATCCCAGAGGTAAAAGTTCAGGGCAGTGTTTGTTTACCCAGCACAGACGCCATGGGGACCGGCTGCCTCTTTGCCTCTCCTGCAACCAACCCCACGTCCCCACAGTGTCCCCACACGGGGGTCCCCAACAGGGTGCCTGGGATGGCTCCTTACCCCGCCATCTGAGGCTGCAGCGAGAGCCGCTGCCAGAAAAGCTGGTGAGGTGGCCGGGAGCCAGCCAGGCGCTGGCTTCCTCTCCCGGGCTCCGTGGGAGGAGTGACGGAGGGGGAGGCCCCGCTTGCTGCCGCTACACACCATAATCCCAGGCCGTCCGCGTCCTGCGTCACGGCGTCGGGGCAACCCGGTAGAGACCACCGTGTGGCTGCCTGCTGCCACCGGCCCTTCCCGGGCTGCTGCTCCCGCAGCCACAGGTCGGCTGAGAGCCTCTCGACGGGCTGCCAGCACACAGTGAGTGCCAGGTCGGTGTGACAGACACCTCCCTGGGGAATGGAGAGGGCAAAGGGCAGGCGGAGGGGCTGTCACCCACCCGGGAGGGAGATATCGGTACCCGAGGTGGGGCACAGCACCCTGGTGTGCCTCCATCACCAGGATTTGGCGTGGGCAGGGAGATTTCTAGGCACTGGGTGGTATTGCTCCCCATGGTGTCCAGAAGCCACACCGCAGCAGTGCAAAACCCCAGCACTGGCCAAAATTTTGCAGAGCTGCCCCCCTCAGCCCTGCTCTCTGGCATTGTCCCCAGGCGAAGACCCAGCGGTGGAGGGCAGCATGGCGAAGAGGGTGGCCATCATTGGAGGAGGGAGCAGTGGGCTGTGCGCCATCAAAGCCTGCCTGCAAGAGGGGCTGGAGCCCGTCTGCTTCGAGAGGACCGGGGACATCGGAGGGCTCTGGAGGTTTGAGGTAATCCCTGACAGCCACGTGTCCTGCTGGGGGTCAGCACCGTGGTAGCTGTGGTGGCTAGTAGGGTGGCATGTAATGGCTAGTAGCCCACCATGTCAGGATCCTGGGGGAGAGGCTGAGATGAAGGGCTCCACACAAAGAGCCACCAAATCAGCCCCAGCCATCCCTCCCCATCACTGCCCCTGTGCCAGCGCTGAGCCGTGCCCTGCTCCTGCAGGAACACCCCAAGAAGGGCTGTGCCAGCATCTACCTCTCTGTCACCACAAGACCCCACAACCCGCTGTCATCACTGCATGGCCACTGCCAACCCAGAGATTCCTCTCCCCTGTCTCATGTGGTGGGCACTCGCAACTGTGGGAGGGTGCTGGGCGCAGAGATGGGTGCCACGAACACCCGTGGCTTAATCCTGCACCCACAAGCACGGCGAGGCACCAGGCAGGGCAGGCAGGCAGCCCTGATGTCCCTGTGCCAGCACCAACCTGTGCCCCGCTCCCGCAGGAGCACCCCGAGGAGGGTCGCGCCAGCATCTACCGCTCCGTCATCATCAACACCTCCAAGGAGATGATGTGCTTCAGCGACTTCCCCATCCCCGAGGACTTCCCCAACTACATGCACAACTCCAAGATCATGGAGTATTTCCGCATGTACGCCCGGCGCTTCGACCTGCTCCGCCACATCCGCTTCAGGGTGAGAGCCGGGGGGTGCCGGGGGGTGGGGGCAGCGGGGCTGGGGGTGCAGGGAGCCTGACACCCACTCCCCCCACATCCAGACCAGTGTCTGCCGTGTGACCAAGCGCCCCGACTTCGCCACCACGGGCCAGTGGGAGGTGGTGACGGAGAGCGAGGGGAAGCAGGAGTCAGCTGTCTTCGACGCCGTGCTGGTGTGCACCGGGCACCACACCGAGGCACATCTCCCGCTGAGCACCTTCCCAGGTACCATCTTGGTGCAAGGAGAGACCCCAGAGAGATTGTCCATGGAAACTCCTGTTCTCTCTGCTGTTCTTCCTCCCAGCCTCAGCATTCCCCTGCTTTGTTTTGACTCAGGGAGTGCTCCCACTCTCCACAGGAGGGGTCTGGTTGAGCCAGGGAGTGTTCCCACTTCAGTTTTTGGGGAGGTGACCCTCCAGCCTGGCATTAGGAAGCCAAACATCCCTCCTCCCCACCTGCAGGCATCGAGAAGTTCAAGGGCCGCTACCTCCACAGCCGAGACTACAAAGATCCCCGAGATTTCACTGACAAGAGGGTCGTTGTCATTGGGATTGGGAATTCAGGGTCAGACCTGTCTGTGGAGATCAGTCACACAGCCAAGCAGGTGAGCAGTGGGAGCAGGGTCCCAGCGGGCAGGGAAGCCTCCCATGGGGACACTGCTGGCTCCACAAGGACACCAGAACCAAGGTGCTGGCGCAGCCACCACTCTATCCCAGCACTCGCTGCATTTCACAGCACCAGTACCCAGCAATCCCAGCTGCCAAGCAGCAGTGGCAGCCAAGACTCAATTCCATATGGATACCCTGATTTCCATCCCCAAGCCCCCGGCTGGAGCTGCCCCTGCAGCTATTCCCTACCTCTCCCTGCCAGGTGCTCACCATGGCACCCTCTGCCCTCTGGGTCTTTGCCCAGCACCCGGGCAGCATGAAGAGGCATGATCCTGGGAGCCCCCCAGAACTGCCACAGCCTTTAAGAGATGATGCTTCTTTCCTCGGCCAGGTCTTCCTTAGTACCCGCCGGGGTGCGTGGGTCTTCAACCGTGTTGGAGATCAGGGCTACCCCGTCGACATTGTCCTCACCACCCGCATGAAGGAGTTATTGAAGAGGGTGCTGAGCCCATCCATGGTGAGCAACTTCGCAGAAAAGCAGCTGAACGCGAGGTTTGACCACTCACACTACGGCCTGAAGCCAAAGCACAGGTGCCAGCAAAAGCTCCCCCTGCCCAGGAGGGACCCCCCCCAGGTCTCCTCATTCCAGCCCTGCTCGGCCATTTCCATGCTCCCTGTGCCCAGGCTGGGGCTGAGGCATCAGCCCTGGAAACCCAGTAAATAGCTGTGGTGTGCCCAGTGAATGCTCAAGGGAGCCACCACTGCCCCTTCTGGGGACCCTTGGTGGCACTAGTGCAGTAGCAGCTGCCAAGCATCCCTGAGGACAAGGCTTGTTGGTGATAAGCATCCTCGGGGCTGAGCACTCCTGGGAATGAGCATCCTCGGAGCAGGGAGCAGTGGCTGAAGCAGGACATGGAGCAGAGACACCCCACCCCAGCACTCTGATGGCTCCTTGTACCTTCCAGGATCCTTGACCAGCACCCGACTGTCAACGATGATCTGCCCAACCGCATCATTTCGGGCAGGGTGCTGGTGAAGCCGAATGTCCAGGAGTTCACGGAGACGTCTGCCATCTTTGAAGATGGCACTAGAGAAGACATCGACATCGTGGTCTTCGCTACAGGATACAGTTTCTCCTTCCCCTTCCTTGAGGGCTGTGTGAAGGTGGTGGAGAACCAGATTCCGCTTTACAAATTCATGTTTCCCCCTCACCTGGAGAAGCCAACACTGGCTTTCATTGGCCTCATCCAGCCCCTGGGTGCCATCATGCCCATCTCTGAGCTCCAGTGTCGCTGGGCCACCCGTGTCTTCAAGGGTAAGTGAGGTAAACCCCCCCACCATGGTTACAGGCAAGGCTGCACCCCCAGAGCCAGGGCAGATGGTGCCCAGCTGTGTTTGGGAAGCAGCAGCCAGCCGAGCCATCCTGGTTGTGGGTGATGACATGGCCATCTTGCAGCCATGGTGGTGAGCCAGGATATTTTCTGAGCAGCGCAGGGACATCCATACATTGAGCCCCACAGGCTGCTCTTTCCCATCTCGAGGAGCTTGTACATGCCTCAGGTGCCAGACTGCCCACCGTGGTGGTGCTAGCAGGGGCACAGGCAAGGGCAGCACGGCAGTGCCACTGTTGCCAGTGGGGTGCAGCACCCCCATGCTGTGGCTCATTCTCCCTAGGGCTAAACAAGCTGCCCCCACGGCACGACATGGAAGCCGACATCGAGCAGAAGAGAGAAGCAATGGCAAAGCGGTAAGATACCGGCCCCTCCCTGGGAAGAGGGAAGGGGATGGTTTGGGCATGGCTGCTTGTGGGCACCCGCCCTGTCCTCTGGCTGCATCCTGGCACATTTGGCTGTGCCAACAGACAGCAGGGATGTGCTCAACCACACCATCTCCACCCCGATGATCCTTCCTGATGGCAATCCATTCAATGCCACCTTACCGGTGCTTGGGGCATCTGCCACCTCCGCCACCAGCACCCACCTGCCCTCCTCACCCACAGGTACGTGAAGAGCCAGCGGCACACCATCCAGGTGGATTACATTCCCTACATGGACGAGCTCGCCTGCCAGGTGGGGGTCAAGCCCAACCTGCTCGCCCTCTTCCTCACCGACCCCAAGCTGGCGCTGGAGGTGGTCTTTGGGCCCTGCACGCCATACCAGTACCGCCTACATGGCCCGGGAGAGTGGGCAGGCGCCAGGGAGGCCATCCTCACCCAGCGGCAGCGCATCATCAAGCCTCTGCAGACACGGCACGTGGAGGAGCACCCCTCAGACCCCGCCGTGCCCCTCATCTTCAAGCTGGTCGGGGCCGTGGCCGTCCTCGCCGTCGTTTTTGCTTACTTCTAGGTGCCCTACAAACGCGGGAAGGGAGGCTTTGTGATGTGCCAGGGGATCTGGCTGGCCACCCCTTGCTCTGCGGCAGCCTGTGCGCCCCAGTGCTGGCAGGAGCCCTCCTCCTGCCTGTCATGGCCCCACTGTGGACACACCGTTGAGCTCGGGAGGCACAGACCCTCCCAGCTGCCAAAATAACACTTTGTTGCCCGCTCTGTGACTCCTGCCAGGGAGCCACCGCTGGGAACAGAGGAAGAAACCTGCTCATGCGCAAGGTGAAATCCATTCCCCCTCAGCCAGTGCTTTTAACCCAGCAGGGACGCGCCAGGCTTTTCAGCCACCTATAACCCAGCCGTGCCACCACTGGCACCCTCACACACGCGAGCTAAGCAGCACAGCAGACTTTCTAACTCCATAAACGTGTTAACCAGAGCCAGGCGTCCGTCCCGTTACTGACACGGCGCAGTGCCGGGGGTGGGGGGGGAGGCACACGGGTTTGTGGAGGACCTGGTGCCAGCAGCACAGCTCCAGCTCCACGCCAGCCACGCACACACACACACACACACACACATGTGTACGGCAGTGTACCCACAGCAACAGCCGCGCCCAGGGTGTGCACCACCGGGGCAGGTTACGGTGGTCACAGCGCCGTGGCTCAGTGCCACTCTCACCACACGCACACAGCCCCTTTGGAGAACAGCAAGTGGGTTGGGGACCCGGAGCGGTGACGGTGGGTCCTGGCCACCTCATGCTGACCATGAATGCCCTGAGCAGCTCCCCGTTTTTGTTTTCTACACTGCAACCTGCCAAAATCTGGAGCGTGGCCACGTCTCAGCCCCCACGCCCAGGAAGTCCTGTGGAGCATCAGCGTCGTTAAGCGCTTACAGAACTTAATGAGCCCTTTGCGGAGGGCAGGCGTGGGCAGGAGGTGTGGCTCGGCGGCGGTGGGAACCTGTAGATCATGTCTGGAAGAAAGGCATCTTGTGACACCCCAGCTGACCTCAGTCGCCCACGGGAAGCACAGGGACGGCCATCCCCAGCCGAGAGGCACCGTGCGTCCCCCTGGTGTGACCCACCAGACTCCGTGCCCCCTTCCCCTGAGCGTGTTTCGCCCCTGGCTGAGGCTTCTCCAGCATCTCTGCCACCACCGCACCACGGGACATGGCTGCCAAGAAAGTAGCTATCATCGGGGCCGGTGCCTCTGGCCTGTGTGCTCTGAAATGCTGCCTGGATGAGGGGCTGGTACCCACCTGCTTCGAGAGGAGCGGGGACATCGGGGGGCTCTGGCGCTTCGAGGTAAGCCCTGTTCCGTGCCAGCCTGCCCTGCGGCAGCAGCACAGACGGGATTTGGATCAGTCGTTGACAGCTAGTGAAGCACCACTCCCCTGCTTTGCATGCATCCAAGGAAAACCACAGGAAAGAAAAACTGCTGTGGCAGCGGGAGGTTCCCGTGGTGCCAGCCACGTGGGACTCATCTTCCTACCAGCAGCAGGATGGACCCTCCCCAAGGACCTCACCCCAGGGCTCTCTCCCCCAGCTCAGCCTTCCCCCTTCCCATCTCTCTTTTCCCGTTCTCATCCATCCCTTCCCTTGCCGCTTTGCTCGTGGTCTCCTCCAGCCCTTTCCTAGCCATCCTGGTCCCATCTGACCCCACTAACTGTCCCAGTCCCATCCTGCCCAGCTCTTCCCTGGAAGTCCCAGTTGGTTCTCTCCCTGCTTCTGTGCCGCTCGCCCACGTAGAGGCATCAAGTGCTGCCTCGTCTGTACCTTGACTTTCCCTGCCTTGAGGGAAGCTCCAGAGCTCATTTCTGCCCCCACCTAATGAAGCTGCTGACTTTTCTCCCAGGAACTACCAAGAAGACAAGCCTTCCCACCATGCCCTGACAGGCGGGTGGGAGAGCCCACGGGGAGGCACCGCACCACACCAGCGTAGGGTTTGGGGTGGCTCAGTTAGTCTGCTGGTGCTGCCCATGGTGGGTCAGAAAGGGGGCTGGTGGAGCAGGGCCAGGGCAGCAGTGCCCGGCTGCTGGGGCAGAGACCTGGCGAGCAGAAGCAGCCACTCAGCTGGAAGCACCAGAGCTGGCTCAGCAGCTGGCAAGACCTGATGTGGCAACTGGGGCAATGGCATCACGGGCAGCTTTGGGAACACGCTGCCTCATCGAGGCCAGGGGTGGGAGCAGGGAAACTGAGGCACAAGACCCCACAACCCGCTGTCATCACTGCATGGCCACTGCCAACCCAGAGCTTCCTCTCCCCTGTTTTGTGCGGTGGGCACTCGCAACTGTGGGAGGGTGCTGGGCACAGAGATGGGTGCCACGAACACCCATGGCTTAATCCCGCACCCACAAGCACGGCGAGGCACCAGGCAGGGCGGGCAGGCAGCCCTGATGTCCCTGTGACAGCACCAACCTGTGCCCCGCTCCTGCAGGAGCACCCCGAGGAGGGTCGCGCCAGCATCTACCGCTCCGTCATCATCAACACCTCCAAGGAGATGATGTGCTTCAGCGACTTCCCCATCCCCGAGGACTTCCCCAACTACATGCACAACTCCAAGATCATGGAGTATTTCCGCATGTACGCCCGGCGCTTCGACCTGCTCCGCCACATCCGCTTCAGGGTGAGAGCCGGGGGGTGCCGGGGGGTGGGGGCAGCGGGGCTGGGGGTGCAGGGAGCCTGACACCCACTCCCCCCACATCCAGACCAGTGTCTGCCGTGTGACCAAGCGCCCCGACTTCGCCACCACGGGCCAGTGGGAGGTGGTGACGGAGAGCGAGGGGAAGCAGGAGTCAGCTGTCTTCGACGCCGTGCTGGTGTGCACCGGGCACCACACCGAGGCACATCTCCCGCTGAGCACCTTCCCAGGTACTGCCCTGCGAGCTGCTTGCTTAGTCCCTGACACATCTGGGACCACCCTCCTCTCCAGCTTAGCCCCCACCCCACTCTGGCTGTTGCCAAAAATGCCTCCACAGGTTAATGGACCAGGTGGGATTGCATGAGCCTGCTGCTATCCTGCCCACCTTGGTGGTCTGTCCTTGGTGGTTCTTGCTGTGATGGCACATCAGCACCTGACCAAAGTGCCCTGCTGGCAGCTGCCACCACTTCCAGCTCACCTCCCCCATGAGAGAGAGGCTCCCCAAACTGCTGGCCACACACCCACTGGGCTCTCTGGCTTCCCAGCAAGGCTTGAATGCTTGGCGCTGTTGGTGGCCTTTTCTGGGCAAAAACGCCTGGAGGGCTTTCAGCTGTGGAGACCCTCTTTGGCTGGGGAACAGGCTGGAACACAGTCACCAGAGTCTGGTGGGATAACACAGACCCTGGCTGCTCCTCTGCCACCAATGCTTGGCACCAGGCAAGAACTGAAGGATGATTTTGGGATGGGGGCATGGAGGTCTCCAGTCCAAGCACTGTGCCAAGTCAGGCCAGCCCCAAAGCCAGAGCAGGACATTCAGGGCCACACTGAGCATCTCCCAGGTTGGAGATGCCACCGCCTCTCTCTCTGGGCACCATCCCAGGGCTGCATCACTCCCATTGGTCATGCTGGTCCCAGCATCTTCCCAAAACACACCGCCAATGCCAGGCAGAAACTGAAGGAAGATTTTGGGATGGGGGCATGGAGGTCTCCAGTCCAAGCACTGTGCCAAGTCAGGCCAGCCCCAAAGCCAGAGCAGGACATTCAGGGCCACACTGAGCATCTCCCAGGTTGGAGATGCCACCGCCTCTCTCTCTGGGCACCATCCCAGGGCTGCATCACTCCCATTGGTCATGCTGGTCCCAGCATCTTCCCAAAACACACCACCAGTCTGAGCAGCGGGACAACCATCCCCTGCCCCACATCCCTACCCAACATGGCTTCCCTCTCTCTTCCAGGGCTGGAAAAGTTTGAGGGCTGGTACCTGCATAGCCGGGACTACAAGAGCCCACAATCCTTTTTGGGGAAGCGGGTGGTTGTGGTCGGCACTGGAAATTCCGGCATCGACATCGCGGTGGAGCTGAGCCACGCAGCCAAGCAGGTGCGCTGGGAGAGCCCCCAGGGATGGGGTGCTGATTTTTCAGACCCTGGAGGACACCAAGCATCTCCCCCCCCACCATCCCATGGGCTCCCCTCCTTCCAGGACCCAGCCACCAGCACCCTGTCCCCTCTTGATGGGGACGGCTACTGTGGTCCAGCATCTGTGCCAGCATCACTGTCCGACGAGCAAAGCAGGGGCCCAGCCTGGTCACGAGGATGCTGCCACACCACCATATCCCCTCTCCTTCCTCCCAGGTCTTCCTCAGCACCAAGCGTGGGACCTGGGTGATGCACCGGGTGGCAGACGGGGGGTACCCCTTTGACTTCACCTACATCAGCCGCTTCATACAGCTCCTCCTGAGCCTGCTGCCTCACACCACCACCAGCTTTTTCATGGAGAGGAAGCTGAACGCCCGTTTTGACCATGCACTTTATGGCCTCCTGCCCCAGCATCGGTGAGCACCCTGGCAGCACCCTGGGGACCTGCCCCAGCACTGCTGGTCCCACTGCCTGGGCCCCTCACAAGGTCTATATTTGCCTTCCAGGATCTTTGACCAGCACCCGACTATCAATGATGATCTGCCCAACCGCATCATCTCAGGGAGGGTGAAGGTGAAGCCAAACATCCAGGAGTTCACAGAGACGTCTGCCATCTTCGAAGATGGCACTAGGGAAGACATTGACGCTGTGGTCTTCGCCACAGGATACAGCTTCTCCTTCCCCTTCCTTGAGGGCTGTGTGAAGGTGGTGGAGAACCAGATTCCGCTTTACAAATTCATGTTTCCCCCTGACCTGCAGAAACCAACACTGGCTTTCATCGGCCTCGTCCAGCCCCTGGGTGCCATCATGCCCATCTCTGAGCTCCAGTGTCGCTGGGCCACCCGTGTCTTCAAGAGTAAGTGAGGCAGAGTGGGGGAACACAGCCAGGCTCCCTTGACCATGGCAAGGCTGAGTCATTCAACTGGCAGCATCCCCTTGCACACTGCCTCCCTCCATCCGCCTTTGTTGACTTCCTTTTGCTTATTCATAGGGACAAACCCCATCATTGCATTTTGCAATGAGCCTCATGCTCATCTTCTCTTGCACAGGCTGCTAACAGGTCCTGTTGCCTGCAAAGCACCTTCTTCCTCTCCTTTCCTGCCACTACTTTCTTTGCCTGTTCTTCCTGCTTTGCTCCTGTCATGGTGGCACGTCCTCAAAGCCTCAAAGACTTTTGTGTGCAGAGCCAGCCAGACCATAGTGGGAGCACAGACTTCGCTCCAGCCATGGCCTCTTCTTCCCCAGGGCTGCAGGAGCTGCCACCATCCACCAACATGCTGGCTGAAATCACACAAACCAAGGAGAAAATGGCTGAGCGGTAAGGACCCTGCAGAGGCATCGCCCCTGACACTGTTACCTCCATGGCCCATGTGCCAAGCCCTCCTCACCCACAGGTACGTGAAGAGCCAGCGGCACACCATCCAGGTGGATTACATTCCCTACATGGACGAGCTCGCCTGCCAGGTGGGGGTCAAGCCCAACCTGCTCGTCCTCTTCCTCACCGACCCCAAGCTGGCACTGGAGGTGGTCTTTGGGCCCTGCACGCCATACCAGTACCGCCTGCGTGGCCCGGGCAAGTGGGCAGGAGCCAGGGAGGCCATCCTCACCCAGCGGCAGCGTGTCGTCAGGCCCCTGCGAACAAGAGCCAGGGACCGCCCTAGCCATGCCAGCAGCGTGCCCCACATCTTCAAGGTCTTCTTCAGCATTGGTTTGATTGTGGCCACCCTTGTCTATGTCTCACTCTCTCCTTAACCCAAAATGAAGGTTCGCCAGCGGGTCCTGCTGGCAACCTTCTTCCTTTCCTTTGGGCTTGGGTATTTCTGTAGTCTCCTGCTAGGTCTGCTGCCAGGTCAGGAGGCTCGGAGGGAGCTGGTTCCTTGAAGATGCAGCCTGGTCTGTCTCACCTTCCAGGGCCACAGAAGGTCTTGTTGGGAGCTGCTCTGAGGACAGGGATCACTCCCTGTTTCCCTAAATCCTGGCCCAGGGGCTCCACAAGCTCTACCCATGGGTTAGACTGGCGCAGAGGCAGTGGGGAAAACATGAACTTGCCCAGTCAGGGCACTTCAGGAAAAGGTCAATAAAGCTTGTCCCCATGCTGAGGGGACCAGGGACTGCGTGGGCTGTCTCAGTCTCCAGCTCCAGCGTCCCTCTGAGGCTGCTGCCCTGACCACGCAGAGCCTGGCCAGCCCACGGGCGGCACCCTGGTCACTTTCACCCCACGGCCGGCCTGCTCCCTGTCTCCCCAGCCAGCCCACCTCACGGCCCACCCGCGGCCTGGCACCCCGGCCCCACAGCCGCTCCGGACCCCCTTCCTCGGCACCTCGGCCCCACGGCCGCTCCGGACCCCCCCTCCTCGGCAGCCCAGCCCCACAGCCGCTCCGGACCCCCTTCCTCGGCACCTCGGCCCCACGGCCGCTCCGGACCCCCTTCCCTTCCACCCCTGGGGCTCCACCCCTGGGCCCCTGCCCTCAACCGACATGGCGGGTGAAGCCGCGCGGCCTCCAGCCCTGCCAGGCCGGGCCGCCCTTAACGACAATAGGCGAAGCCGCCCTCAAAAAACATGGCGGCTGCCGGGGCAGCGGGGAAGCGGGTCCGCGGGAGGGGGCGCGGCCATAGAGCGGCGGGCGGGGGCGGGCCAGAGCGCCCCGCAGAGGCTGGCGGTGGCGGCGGGGGGTGTCGCCATTTTGGACGGAGGCGGAGAGC